AAAAAAAAAAAAAAAAAAAAAAAAAAAAAAAAAAAAAAAAAAAAATTTTTTTTTTATCAAATAAAATATTTTTTAACAAAATAAAAAAAGCCCCCAAAAAAATTTTTTTTTTTTTTTCACTCAGTACTATTAATATAAAACATGCGGAGTTGGGGAAGGGAGGGGCGGGAAGGGCGGGTGGTTTCGAATAGAAAGCAGGACACACCAGATGCAAAATATGTGTAAGAGATTAACGTTTACGAAGTCCCTCCCCGCTATGATTGCCGTGGGCGTTGACTCCCATGTGGCGCTGATTTAACCCTGAATGGGAATTACCCATGATGTACACGTATGCACCGCTGCAGCCCGGACAGGTGTGCACCGTGTAGTTGTACATCGCTACGCTCTCGGTGCGGTACAGCAGGGTCTCGCGGGTCAGCTCCCCTATCGAAATCAGCTTACAGCACCCGTGGGGGTGTGACGCCATGACCGCAAGTCTGTTGTCAGCGTCGCTGCTTCCGTAAACCTGGCGTAAGTTTTCACACAGTTCCCTGTACCTTTCCACATTCTTCGCCAGCTTAATCGCCACACCCAAGTCGTCGACCACGCCCACCATATTCGACTCGTCAACCCACATGCCCCGTTTGTACTCGAAACCTCCGATGTCCACGCCGCTTCCGTCTTCCGCGTCGTAGCCCAGTGCGCACGTGGTTTGCTTCACCTCCACGTCATCGTAGACGACGTGAGAGGATGTTTGAATTTCAATCACACCAACAACTTGCCACTGCGTCGATGAGCTGAGGTACTCACTACTGCTGAGAGGTACACATTCATTCTCGTTGAATAAGGCAAGGCTCCGAACGAAACCGGTTCCGGTGCGTGTCAGTGTGTCACGTGACCTACCGAAGAAAGGGAACGGAGCTTCTGATTCGGCGTAGAATTCTGGTCGATGGGGGCTCGTGCAGGTGACCGTGACCTTAACGGTAAGCGCTGCCTGCAGGAGGATCAGCTCGTGCACTTCATCGGTTCGGTAGGGCTCCGGCAGGTGGTGGATGGTGAACGAAGCCACGGGGATGAAGTGTGCGTGCCCGGGGTTCTTCGTGCACGCCGCTTTGCGTCTGAGCAGATCTGACTCGCCGTCGCAGGACTCTTCAACTTCGTGGTGACCTTCACAGGGAGACAAGAATACAATGTCCATAAGTAATCCATGAATAATTAGTGTTTTGATAATTTAAGCCAACATTATGTTGTGATACTTTTCAATGGGGCAGCGTAAAATATACTCAAGGGGTCCTTAAACATTTTAAACATGGGGCCGGTTCACTGTGTCACGGACACTTGGGGGCCAATTCACTTTTACTCGTAGATTTCTTTTTGGATCAGACGATCGTTTCAAAATAATCTGAAAGAATTCATATGCTTACTGCATAGACTATATATGCATTTAGAAAATAAAAAAAACCGGGGAAAACACATTCAAAAGACAAATAATTATTCTTATTTCACTAGCAAGTATGGTGCTGCTTTTGTATAAATTGATGCTCGATATCTGTATCTAGATTCGTTACTGCCAACCTTGTAGCCATAAGGTGGTTGAGTCTGGCCGGGTTAAGGACCTTTGGCAGGCCGGGTCTGGCCCACTAATAATTTGAAAAGAAAATAGAAAATATGTTTACAGTATATTTATGTAAATAGAAATTATGTTGCAACAGATCAGATTCATTTTTAACAAACGCAATATAGCATTTGATTGATGCACTTATTTCTTTATCTTTTTTATTTTTAAAAAATGGTTTCTTTTTGATTTAAGTGAACTAGAAATGGTATGGCCACGTAACAAGAAAAAATGGTCTCGCCAAAGAAATCATGCAGGGCCCAACGAGAGGAGGGAGAAGAAGAGGAAGACGAAGACAAAAATTGGAAGAAAACATCAAAGAGCTGACGGGACTAAAACTAGGCGATAGTGTGCAAAGTGCAGACCACAGAGAGGAATGGAGGAGGGTATTTTTCACGTCATCTGTGGTGCCCCCACGGTCCAAGGACTAAGGGGCATGTAGTTGATGATGAGGATGGTGAACTAGAAAGGAGATTGAATGTAAAAGCTTGGATAACGACAGAAGTTGAGCGTCTCTATAACGCCATCTTTATTTATTTCCATGTCTTTGCTTTTACTTTTGTGTCTGCTAATGAAAGCTCCTCAGAGGAAAACAATTTTTTTTTTCAAATGTCCGTTACCCTTACCATGTCATTCCCATTTCATGTACCCTTCTTGTATGTAGCCTACTACAGCCTTAACTTCTGTCCGGTATGTGAATACGTCTCACTACTGATAACCATGTCTTAAATCAACTCGTCATAGTAAAGCGTTAGGGGTTCTTGTGTGCAAATCATGTGCAGTGTGCAGTAACTATCGATGGGAATCTAAACGAACCCGAAACGAACCCGAAACGAACCCGAAACGAACCCGAACCTTACGGACGACCGAACCGGAACTCAACCCCGAACTGTCAGTGAGTACAAACCTATCCAAAATGAGCCCATCGAATTCTTAATAGAACCAACAATGTTTTTCGAATGTGATACATCAGGCAACGTTTTAGGAATGTGATACATGGCACAATGTTTTACTAACGTGGCACATTAGACAGTGTTTTACTCATGTGGCACATCAGACAATGTTTTACTGAAGTGGCATATCAGACAATGTTTTACTAATGTGGCACATCAGACAATTTTTTTTTTAAGGTGGCACATCAGTATGGTCTAAACTGAGCAAACCTTAAGTTTGTGGTCTGGAGTTCAATCCCCTCCCAAGACGAAGTCTAACAAAACATACCGAGCACCCCAGGTGGATGGCAACTCATCTAAGAGAAGGCAACTCATCTAAGAGAAGGCAACTCATCTAAGAGAAGGCAACTCATCTAAGAGAAGGCAACTCATCTAAGAGAAGGCAACTCATCTAAGAGAAGGCAACTCAACTACGAGAAGGCAACTCATCTAAGAGAAGGCAACTCATCTAAGAGAAGGCAACTCATCTAAGAGAAGGCAACTCAACTAAGAGACGGCAACTCATCTAAGAGAAGGAAACTCTGAATTCAAACACGGAGATGGAGTCCCGTCGGCGTAAACGATGACACAATGAAACATTCCAGCAACTCTTGCGACGCCACGGGTGCCAAGCTGTGTCATCCACACTTGGGTTGTTATCCAGCGGCGTGGAGAGAGTCGATGTGCCGTGCAGAGAACCAGCTTATAATCCTAATAAGAATAACCCCCCTTGCGGATTTCGTCCTGCAAAGTTTACGCCATCGTCATATTGTGACGAAAGGACGCCGGCGTAGGTGGAGAGGGCAACAGTACGCCCCAGTGAGTAGGATGATTGTACAAGTTTTAAATCAAAACCCTGAGGTAACGCAACATATTAAACGTGAAGTGGGAAGATTATAGAAAGACGATTGAAAGATGATAGAGGTATTATAGATAATGATAGAGAGATTATAGAAATATTGTTGAAGAGGGTTGAAAGATGATAGAAAGATGATCGAAAGATGATTGAGAGAAGATAGAAAGGGGTTAGGGAGATGATAGAAAGATGACAGAAAGAATATTGAAAGGCGATAGAGATATGATGGAAAATTGATAGAAAGGTGATAGACAGATGAAAGACAGATGATAGGAAGAAGATTAAAAGATGATAGAACGATTATAGAAAAATGATTGAAAGATGATGGAACGATAATAGGTAGAAGATAGAAGCTTTATAGGAAGAAGATAAAAAAGGAGATATGGAGATGATAGAAAATTTATAGAAAGAAGATTGAAAGATAACAGGAAGAAGATAGAAAGGTGATATGTAGACAATAGAAAGCGCCTGCTGCCTTTGTTGTTATGGCGTTGTTAGTTACCGGTATCTTTACGTTTTAAAAAAAACCACATGTTTAAAACCGGATGTCTTTAAAACCGATAATTGGTTTGCCGAAAAAAATAATGACAGCTCTAGTTATTACCAAACTTACGCTGTTTCCGAACCGAAACTATCCCAAACTTAAGTTGTCGACGAACCGAAACGAGCCTGAAATTCTAACAGTAGGTTCGAATCCTAATCTAAGGCAGTCAACCGTCAGCCTAGTAATGATTTCAATGACACATCTGCGTTGTTAAATGGCCTCGACTTACCGCAAGGAAACTTCTCGCTCTTGAAAGTAAACAAGTTTGCATCGTGTTGTGTTAGTGCCCATGTCTTGTCTTCACTGGAGAGAACCTCTGAAATAATGTGACAAATAATCTGATAAAATGGGATAAATAACGTTATAAATAAAAATGTGATAAAAAATTTGACAAATAATGTTATAAATAATGTGGCAAACATTGTGACCAATAACGTGACAAATAATTTGACGAATAATGTGAAACTTAATGCATAGAAAAATGTGAAGAAAAATGTGACAAATAATGCGAAGAATAATTGACAAAAAAGGTGACAATAATTTAAAGAAATAAAGTGATTAAATCATGGATATATTTTAAAAATATTTTTAAAAGTGTATTACGGATATCAGAAGAAATAAGAGGGGATATAACTTTATATAATATTGACTCAATCAAAATAAAACGAGCTACGGGACGTTGTTATTTCAAAATTTAAATGTCTATGAAGTAATTTTAAAAATTAAAAAACAATACAAAAATAAGAGCTTTTAAAGAAAATTAACTAAACATAAAAAAGTTCCTAGTGAAAATGATAAGGGCACTTCATTATACTGAGAATATGAATTTATGTATATCATCTTACATAACAACAGTATATACATATATAGTTTAAATATGAATTAAGAAGAAGATATTGTTGAAAAATAAACTAAGGTGGTCGAATAAATAAGAAATTTGAAAAAGTCTAAGTAAGACAAAAGAGAGAACCTCTTATTAATAAGAACAAGAACATGGTAATATCAAGAACACAATATTAAAAAAAAATGAGAAAAAGTCTTCATTTCCATCAAAAGTTGTCATATACTAACCAAGAGTCTTCTGATCTGTATGTTTGAAATGCCTTTTGAGGTGCCCTTTGAAAAGATCATCACGCAGTCCTTGCCTACCTGGCCTGTTGCCCATATTCACCTACAAAGTTAGAGGAAATAGGAATAGTTCAGAAATTTGACAATGGACATTTAAAGAGAGTGAAAGTTGAAATAATGGTTTGATAGTGTTTGATCTCAGTTTGGGTCAGTCAATGTAAGCATCACAGTAATTAATGGATCACGTCAATATAAGCATCACAGTAATTAATAGATCACGTCAATATAAGCATCACAGTAATTACTAGATACCATCAATGTTAGCATCACAGTAATAACTGGATCACTTCAATATAAGCATCACAGTAATAAATGGATCACGTCAATATAAGCATCACAGTAATTAATAGATCACATCAATATAAGCATTACAGTGGTGAATTGATTACATGAACATAACCATTACAGTGATGGATGGATCACATCAGTATCAGCATTATTGTGTTCAATGGGCCATATTTTGATTTTTCACAACTAAGACAGAATATGATCAAAATATTGCATTTTAATTATTTATTATTTTTTTTTTAATATTTACAAAAAAAGGCACCATCCGTTTGAGGTCATAGGTCAAAATGGCCATGTAAAAATTTTAGCACGAAACATAAATTATGTTTTATATAAATATTTCGACCCAGTAATTCACGACGCTTCGTTTGTACAATATTCCAATCTTTTTTTGTTGATACAATTAAGTTAACAAAACATGGGGAACACCAACCCACTAAATGACACCTTAGCCTGGTTCCTCAATCTGAGCTGCCTAAATAGTCCATCAAACAAAGTAATACATTATTTTATTTTTAAAATAAGATAAAAAGGTCTGTGGCCTGATACTTACTTTGAAATGAAAAACAAATTTCTGTATCCAATAAAAGAGATTATGTGATTTACTGGACACATTTATAAGACAATGTAAGGTATTGCGGCTGGTTCGGGGCTTCCCGGATGTTTACGAATCTATTAATAGACCAAAGGAATGGCTAACACGTCACAAGTGTGGAGGTGACATGCACATCGTGAAGCGTTTACAGTTGTTCCCTGAATTTTTCAATCAAATACTTACTCATTTATTTTAATTATGCAAATACTCATAATTATACAAATCATTATTATTTTTTTAATTTTTTTGTGTGATTTAGTTTAAAGATAAACAATAAAAGAGCTACGGCAGAGTTTAATTTAAGACAAAATTATTTCAAAATAAAATAAAAGAACTACGGCAGAGTTTAATTTAAGACAAAATTATTTCAAAATAAAATAAAAGAACTACGGCAGAGTTTAATTTAAGACAAAATTATTTCAAAATAAAATAAAAGAACTACGGCAGAGTTTAATTTAAGACAAAATTATTTCAAAATAAAATAAAAGAACTACGGCCGAGTTTAATTTAAGACAAAATTATTTCAAAATAAAATCTTGGACGGAAACTTTTATGACTCAATTCCAATTGAATTAAAATAGTATATGAAAATTATTTAATTTTTACTTTATTTAAACGATCTTTCATAATTATTATTTTTTTTAATAAGGGTTTCTATTAGTAGCTTGTCGGGTGGTAAGAGAACTTTAGTTGAGATAAGGGCTATCAAGACATGTTGTCGTTAACGGGGTGTGACGCACGGGTTGGTTGCGGCTGCCCATGCCGATGGTTCTTAGCATGCAGCCTATGAGGGGGACTGGCCCTGGGAAACCGCTTCATCCCAACTACGATGTGACTTATTCACAAAGGAGAAACCACACGTAGGAATGCAACATTATAGGGCGTCTGACTCAACCCGGGATGGGAAGGGGGCTGTTTTGGGGGGGGGGCGTTAAAATGTATCCATTTCAACCCCCTAGAAAGTTCTCTGTCAGAGTAGCACCACCAGCCGACCGGGTGTTCCTTCATTGATGCAGCCCCACTCGCATGGTCATCCGAGTTGAAGGTGGGGTGGGGGGTGGGGGCTGTCTCAGGGGCGGAGTGCCACTGACGTGCCGCTTGGCAGCCCGATTAGAATCGCGCTAGTTGGGTTAGGACGAAGAGAGGGTTACATTGGGGAAGGCTTAATGAGCTCTGGCTCGATAGTTTGCCGTTTCTACCGAGAGAGTGAGTTGAGATAAGGGAGGGGCACAGGTATGTTGTATGGGGATGCCTTTCACTTGAAAAAAACCAACAAAAAACATCCTAGTTTTTCATGAAATATTTCTTAAATAGTTGGTGTTCGAAGTAAGCGGTGTCAAAGCTGGTGGAACAATATAATATAAAATAATTTAAGAAATCCATATAAAAGTTTTATAGGAAAAACTTTTTTTTTTGAAAGGGGTTCTTTAATTTTCAGTCTAAAATATTGTTGACGATTTTTGACCAACCGACTAATATTTTGCACAGAAAAAAAATAATTCTTAAACACGTGATATATTTTAGATAATCAAAGTGGCTATTCGTACCCGGATACCAGAAGTGAGAGGTTGGGATTAAAAAAAAACTATTAAAAATATTATTGTTGTGTTTGTAAGACAAAATGTGGTATCAAATGAGAGCTAATTGAATGGGCTACATGTTTGTAATCTTAATTCTTCAGTTTAACTAAAATAAACTACCACAAATGGCGTCCTAATTGCACTGAGTCAAAATGGACCCAGACACGCAGCGCCGCCATTCGCACCCGGGTACCATTAGACTCAAGCAATTCGGATGTCGATTTTGGTAGTTTATTTTAGTTAAACTGAAAAAGTAAGTTTGCGAACATGATACCTCATTTTGTCTTACGAACCCAACAATAATATTTTAAATAGTTATATAATCCCAACCTCTTACTTCTGGTACCCGGGTACGAATAGTCGCAGCCTTAGATAATATGCGGTTGATAATTTCAAATATTTTTTTTTTTTGTAAAGCCCCCGCATATACAAAATGTGAAAGTCTACATTATTTAAATTTTCTTCTTGTGAACATATTAAGATGACATGCACGGGGTTTATTTGAAATCACGAGACTCACTGAATAGAGACTCACAGAGCCTGTCTAAGTGTCCAAGTTTGTTTAAGTGTTGATCACGTCAAGAACATCACTAAAGTGATCCTTGAGAATGTCAAGATGTGTAGTGAGCGACCTCACGTACACAAAACAAACAACAAAACCAACAACAAAAAAGGAATGCCGTTAATGATTTGTTCCAGGAGTTTTCGCTTTGATTTTGTGTTTTGTAATTCGTTGATTTTTTTTTTTAGTGTGAGTCTCTGGTGTAGAGATTTATTGTGTAAATATTGCTATATGTGTCTAGAGTGTTGAGTTGTTTTTTGTTTGTTTGTGTTTTGGGGTTTTGGGGTGGGGGATGATAGATGACGGTGGTCGTTTTCATAGATCAGCAATTTAGTATGGAGAGTGCGATTTAAAGAAAAAAGGTTAACAGAGCTGGCATTCGTCCGTCACAATGTCAAGATGGAGTGGGCTTCGGAGGACGAAATCCACATGGCCTGGGATTTTTCTTCAAGGATTATAAGCTGGTTTCCAACAGCAAATCGTCTCTCTCCCCGCCGCTGGGTAACCCAAGGGAACATCATTGGATGATACAGCTTGGCACCAGTGCCGTCGCAGGAGTTGTCGGAATGTTTCTTTGTATCAATGTTATCCGCCTTTTGAGACTCCAACTCCGGGTTTTATTTCAGAGTTTCCTTCTCTTAGTAGAGTTGCCAACCACGGTTAACGAGTCTCATCCACCCGTAGTGCTGGTGATGTTTTTGGTCGACTGGGCTCTGGCTGGAATTGAATTTTGTTAACAGAGCAGTGTCGTGAATAAAGAGCTATATCTGATATATATCTTGATTGTTGTGTGACGGCTTCAATGTCCCAAACTGAACCTCCTCCTACTCGACACGTTTCTTTTTATAAGAAAGGAGTGAGGGTGGGGGGACATGGCGGGAGGGGGTGGGTGGAGCTGCCAAGCAGCGAGCGTCATGCGTGACGGTTTAACCAAGGTCAGAAGGTTGAATTTCTCCGGAGGCACGATTAAATCATTTAAGAACAACAGGTAGGGTGTAGGACTGCCTGTAGGACAATTGTTTAAAAGCTGGCAGGTAGGGTGTAGGACTGTCTGTAGGACAATTGTATAAAAGCTGGCAGGTAGGGTGTAGGACTGTCGGTAGGACAATTGTTTAAAAGCTGGCAGGTAGGGTGTAGGACTGTCTGTAGGACAATTGTTTAAAAGCTGGCAGGTAGGGTGTAGGACTTCTGTAGGACAATTGTTTAAAAGCTGGCAGGTAGGGTGTAGGACTGTCTGTAGGACAATTGTATAAAAGCTGGCAGGTAGGGTGTAGGACTGTCGGTAGGACAATTGTTTAAAAGTTGGCAGGTAGGGTGTAGGACTGTCTGTAGGACAATTGTTTAAAAGCTGACAGGTAGGGTGTAGGACTGTCTGTAGGACAATTGTTTAAAAGCTGGCAGGTAGGGTGTAGGACTGTCTGTAGGACAATTGTTTAAAAGCTGGCAGGTAGGGTGTAGGACTGTCTGTAGGACAATTGTTTAAAAGCTGGCAGGTAGGGTGTAGGACTGTCTGTAGGACAATTGTTTAAAAGCTGGCAGGTAGGATGTAGGACTGTCGGTAGGTCTTTTGTTTAAAAGCTGGCAGTTAGGGTGTCGGACTGTCGGTAGGTCTATTGTTTAAAAGCTGGCAGGTAGGGTGTAGGACAGTCGGTAGGTCTATTGTTTAAAAGCTGGCAGGTAGGGTGTAGGACTGTCTGTAGGTCTATTGTTTAAAAGCTTTCAGGTAGGGTGTAGGACTGTCTGTAGGTCTATTGTTTAAAAGCTTACCGGCATCGGGGTCCTAATGCAATCCCGTGCAACGCCGGGTATGTTGGCTAATATATATATAAAATACTTTTTTTTTAAACACTCATTTCCAAAACTGTTAAACTAAATAGAGAAAGAAATGTCTCCCAAATTTTCAGAGCTGTTACTGTCATATGACTAAAAGAAAAAACAAAAGCACGTGGCGCCCATGAACTTAGTGTTATTTGCAAGTCGCAAAGACATGCTCCTTTGTAACGTGTCGCTGCTGTCCTCAATCACACCAGAATTTATGGCTGATCCTTGCCTCACAACAATAGGTCCACAGCAGGCCCAGAACACTACGTTTTAAAAAAGAAAAAAAAATTGAATTTTACAGAGAGGAAGGAACGAAGAAGCCAAACCTGAATCAAGGATATCACTTTAATGAATAGGCGAGGAATAGGTGTGCCGTACTATTTGTGACGCGCCAACGGATGTCGTACTAACCTGTGACGTACTAATGATGTGACGTACTAAGTTTGTGACGTACTAAGGTTATGACGTACTAAATTTGTTGCGTACCCACGTGTGAAGCATCCAGTCTTCTGGATCTAATCGCTTTTAAATATTTTAACAACTGAAATTTCTTTTAAGGTAAGATAATTCATGCATGAAACATTTACCCCATGCTAATATAACCCCGATGTACATTATCCCAAATGCCATGTCAATTTGTAATTTTTTTTAAACGATTTGTTTTTCTGTTTTAACGAAAAATGTTTCATCATCAATCCTCCAAAATCGCAATTGACTGTTTTTAGGCCCGTATGTGTATCACGTGATTATAATTTATTGATTTTTATGCACTTATTCTATTTTTAGACAACCCCATTTTTTTTTTTAAAGGACCCTTTAGTTAGTGCATTATAAATTAAGCATTACGTTCAGCCATAAACACGATGTGCAGCAAACTAATCATTTCGTCGTATACTCTCTGGAGCAACAACAACAACAACAACAACAACAACAACAACAACAACAACAACAACAACAACAACAACAACAAATGAATACGTTTATGCAAAAGGATGTTCTCGGTCGTCCGTGGTCTCGAGACACCTTAAGTTTATTGGTATCGTAACCCTGTCTACAAACAACGATCTAACA